CCGGCCGCCCGCACCTGGCAGCCCCGCAGCGCGCCGAGTCCCGGCGAGTCCCTGCCACGGGTCCGCGGCCGCCTGGTCGCCGCCAGCTTCTCACCTGTTGGTCTCCAGGTGGTGTCCAAGCCCCGCGCCTGTTCCTTTCACCGCTGGGGACGCTCTGAAAGGCTCACGGGCGCGTGGGGACGGTGCCCGGGAGTGTGGCCACCATGCTGGCGAGGCAGAGAAGAAGAATGACGCCTGCCCCGGGCGCCCAGGGTGGTACCTAAGGGTGGTGACGGCGTCGTCGCCGCCTCCGGTCGGACAGGCCCGCGGCCGGCGCGGTCCGAGCCTAACTAGGTCGCCTGGCAGCCGGGCCGCGGTCGCGCCCCACGGGTGTGCTGGGCGTCACACTCCCGGCTACCAGGAGGAAAGCAGCCGGGCGTGGAACGCCCACCCCGGGAGGCCATCAGAACAGTGGCCTTAGAAAGTAAAGCCCCAGGGAGCGCAGGGGCGTCCGCCCGGCCGGCTGTGCTGCGCAGGCGGGGACCACCGCTCCCGGGCATCGCTGCGGAAGATGCGCTGGGCGGCCTGCGTTTCTGGGTGCTGAGCCTCTGAAATCTGTGTCTTAAGGTCCAGGCCAGGCGGTGTGCCCCAAGTTCTGAGCAATTATTAGAACAATCCAGACGCTTCCTGACCCTCCTGCTCAGCCGGTGAAGTCGAACGTTCACGTCGCCAGCTTACAGTCAGAACCTCGGCTTGCGACAAGTCTCCCCTCCTCCCGAGCGCGCTGTGCCATGTCCGTGACCTCATAAAGGGCGAAGCTGCGGAGGCAAACGCCCCGAAGGCGTGAGGCCGTGCTGCCCAAACCCAAAGTTGGCTTTAAACATTAAGCGTGTTACTTACAGTGCTGTGCGCTTGGTTTCTGTCAAACGATAGCTATTTAGGAAATTCGTTGTGTTCTTTTGGTTTTGAAGTAGGATTTTTACTTTATTTGCCTCAAATTGCTTAACAAAATAAGGCCCATTGTGAAGTAAAACAGTCATGTCATAATTTACTTGTAATATAGCAGAGCGGGCCTATGCTTAAGGACAGAATTGATTGGACAGATTTTTATTTTTTCAAGCAATTTATTTATTGATTTGAGAGAGAGGGAGGGAGGGAGAAACATCGGTTTGTTGTTCCACTTATATGTACATTCATTGTTTGATTCTTGTATCTTCCCTAACCAGAGACGGAACCCACAACCTTGGCATACAGGGACGACACTCTAACCAACTGAGCTACCCAGCCAGGGCTGGACGTATATTTACAAAGGGCTCCTACAATGAAATTACTTCAGATAAGCCCTAGCTGCTGTGGCTCAGCTGATTGGAGCGTAGTCCTGTATATCAACAAGTTGTGGTTTCAGTTCCTGGGCAGGGCACATACCAAGGCTGCAGGTTCCATCCCTGGTCGGGGCACATACCAACGGCAACCAGTCAGTGTTCTCCCTCCCATCGATATTTCTCTCTCTCTCTCTCTCTCCCTCTCTCTCTCTCTCCCCCTCCCTCTCTCTCTTCTTCCCCCACTCTCTAAAAATCAATGTCTTTTTATAGAAACCCAGGGGTTAAAAGCTATAATGAATGGAAGTGTCAGATGTTATTTCAAGTTCTCATACTCAGAAGACATATAGTTCAGGTTCCTAGTTCAAGAATGAAGTAAATAAGGAAATACCTTTGTTAGGTAGATTATAATATCCAGCTGCACGGTAAGAATGGGAAGGACTAATGATTAGTGTCAAACTGAAAGATCCTTCAGTGCTTTGAGCTCAGAAAACAAAGGGAAAGAAAAATATTTTTTTTATAACTTATCAAAGAATTGGGAGTGATATTTCTGAATCAAGAATGCCCTGGAAATATTTATGAAGGAAATAAAAGGTATGCCATTGATTAGGGGAACTCCTGTTAAAGAATGTGGTAACTTGACCACTTCAGTTCACTGAAGAATTGGCAGCTGGTGTATTCTAACAGAAGCATTTGCTTTTATTTTTTGGCAAGCACTCCTTCCTTTCTGTATCATTTCTATATCCATAAAATGTGTGTCCTTAAGTCTCTGGGTCAATAGACTTGGATGACAAGAGCAGAAAATATTATTTTCTTTTGAAGTGAGAGCAAATGATTTTTTTTTAAAGGTCTCAGAAAGTCTCTAAGCTTTGCACCAGAAAAATTAGTAACTCCAGTGCCACCTGGTGCTGAACAAACAGCATCCACTGATGGATATTTCCTAACCTTTGCATTCTGGGGTTTTGTCTTTTCACTGTATCTAGAGAGTTCAACATTGCTTTGCCTGGTCCATTTTCTCCTGTCAAGAGGAGGCTAACCTTGAATTTTTTATTCTTTCTTTCTTTTCTTACGGATTCAAAGAGAATGAATGTTTTCAACTTCACTGGTGAATGTAATCATATTTGAGACTAGAAATGCACTTAATAGTATAGAAAGTTTCAACTCTTGATTCAGAGGAATGGAAGCATGTGTCTGGTAAAATTTAATAGAGGCCCATAGTGAGTACAAGTAAATTCATGTTCATAATTAACATTATCTGGTTCAGACTGAAGATTGAGAGATGTCAGTGGCATTTGGGAAAAAACAAAAGGCTGCAGTGATAGTCTACTCCACTGGCTCTCTGATTCTTCGTGACGTAATGATGGGTAGGCCTTGCTCCACAGTGTGTTCCAGGTGATCCTTGTTTTGAAGGTCGTTGACAGAAATGAAGCTTCCATCAAGATTCAGCAGAGACCCTCGCTGCCAGCAACTGGGACCCTCGACTCTCTAGTTTGTACACCTGAAACCTCTTGAGTCTCCTTCTGGTTAAGGCCGTCATACCTGGGGTGGGGGTGGGGGGGTAAATTTATGCTTAATTGAGCTCTGACATTTTGTTGAAGTTCTTCACATTAGCTATTATTTTATTTTCTTTCCTAGGCAAAAAGTCTCCTGGGATCCTTTGGGAAGTGTTCCTTCGTGAAGTTGTTTTTTGGCTTTCTGACATTTTTCTCCTGTCGCCTGTTTGCTTCTTAGATTGTCCGTTAAAAGAAAAGTCGCTCAGAAAAGGTCAGGCAAATGCCCTGTAAGTGTGTATCCTTGAGCTGGCCCCGGAGGTCTCCTTGGAGACCAGCTTTGCCTCCAGTCTCCATTTAAAAATTATATAAAGACCTCCTCCTTAGTCTTGTTTTTGTGTCCCTGCTCTGTTTAATTTCATCTGCTTAAAAGCGGGAGATTTGCCCCACCCACGTTTGAGGACGATTAGCCTTTGGCCAACTTCCAGAGACAGGAGGTTTCACAAGCACCATCTTTAGGGGGTGCTACAGTTCTCGGAGGGTCTTCCCAATGGAAAACTGCCACTTCCGTGCCACAAGCCCGCTTCCCTCACGTTTTTTACACTATGTTAACTTGTACACTCATCTCTCTAACTGGCACAATTGTACCAGGGACAGTTTAGAACTACACTAGCCACTTTGTTTTTGACAAGAGCAAGGTTGCTCATTTAGGAGGTATTTTAGAACAAAATTTAAAGAAACCCTCATGTGGAAATTGTCTTGTTTGTGTACGGGAAAGAGAATTTTTTAAAAACTAAATTTAAGGTAGGGGACACCCCCCTCCTTCATGTCCATACTTTGGAGGCTGACAAGGGCGGGCTTTTTAATTGTATGTCTAGATAACATTGTTGAGGGCCCAAGTTATTCTTTAAATGAGCCATAATAACACTCCGTTGTGTGTGTGTGCATGTTAAAATGGGTATTTCTACACCTAAATGCTCTCTCTGCATAGAAAATATAAGTAGCCTTTACAGTGGTAATTCGTATTTGTCTAAAGCCAGCAGGTTCTCTCTTTGTTGTTTTTCCCTCTGTTGGAAGATCTAAAGATTAACTGATGGATCAAACGAACAAACAAAATTGTTAAAATAATACAAAATGCACATTCATGGAAAGAAATAGCTAAGCAATTATTGGTTTACCGATACCCTCCGATTTTCTCTTTTATTTGGAGGGGGAAAAAATCAAGTCATCCATTTAAAAAAAAAAAAATTCAAGGAATCCGAAAATGCTCTAATTCGGCCAGTTTGGAATCCTGGAACAGAACCTTTAAATGCAGCCCTTTGGGGTTGGTGGGAAGAAGCCGGGAGAGGGGAGCGCAGGATGGAAAAAGTCATCATGTAAGGAATTGAGGGGCAGGATCCCACATTTGGGACATTATGATGATTCGCTATACGCCTTCACCTAATTCTCACATTAGCTCCATCTTCTCTGATACCCAAGTGTTGCTGTGATAAGGTGCTAACTTGACCAAGGTCAGAGAGCAGCGAACAAAAGTGCCCGTGGCTGGCTCATCTCTGCGGGCCTTGCTCTTTTCCAGTCCATGCGAATCCCCCCCAAACCCCCAAACCTCACCCTTCCAAAGGGGCTTAACCCCCTTGCTAGGCCTGGGCCTGGCAATTGTAGGATCTTGCCCCTCAATTCCTTACGTGATGACTCTTTCCATCCTGCGCCCCTCTTCCCGCTTCTCCCCACCAACCCCAAAGGGCTGCATTTCAAGGTTCTGTTGCGAGATTCCAGGTGCGAAGGTGATCCTAGTGCGTGCGAATCTTTTGCCCAAGCAGCGACCCCAGGGCCTTTGGCCGCCCTCCCGCGGCGCGCTCCGGGTGGGGG